TGAATTTTTTAAGTAATTTTTTGAAGTAATCATATTTTTTAATTTTTAAAGTCCTTCAGAAAAATTCTGAAGCCGGAGAGAAAAACTAAGTACGCAGTTTTACTATAATTTAGCCATAATTTCGCGAATATATTATTTTTTTTGTGTGTAAAATTTACTGTCGCACGGTGTAATAGGAATATGTCAAAAATGTCCTTTAAAAAATATTATCCTTCAAGATTATAATTTTGAATGTATTTTGAAGAATCTTAGTTTAAGTTAAAGCCTATGGCTATATAAAAGGCTATTAAAGAATACAAATTTCAAAGGTTAATTTTCAAAAAATGTCAATCCTGTCATCCTATTAATAATTTAAAGATGCAGATTTACTAGATATGCGTACAAAGAAGGGAAACATATCGAATTTTTCGCATTTCCATAATTTTCGTGGGCGATGTAGGAGTCTTAACTCAAGCTTTAACTAAAACTTCAACTAAAATTCGGCCATAAAACTTCATATATATATATGTTATTTGGGCCAAAAAGCATAAATATAGAAGGAATAGACATCAAAATTTCCCCATTTTATTGCAACATTCTACATATTATCTAATACTGAGCTTTCTATCACACAGCTATTTAACAAAAAAATATTCTCCACTTCTTGACGCCTTTATACTCAACTATTTACTGTTGTAAAATTCTCATCAACAATTATTGCTTTATAATTGCAATTGAGCTCTAAATAAATATAGTTGCTAAGTATCATTGAACAGGTTTCTATTAATATGACATTAGCTTTGACATATGCCTGAGCTTTGAGCATATTTAAGCTATTATTACTTTGAGTAAGTGTTTAACTATAATATTGAACACAAAACCATAACAATAAACATAAGCATAAATTTTATATGTCGAATTTGTGGCATCAAAAACAAAACCAAAACTTTCAGCAACAGAGTTGTAAAAACACACACACGAACATTAGTACATCTATTACTGTAATTTATACTTTAATATAATGGTGACATAAAATTACGGGCATACATAAATTTCGATCTTCAAAGCGCACCCCATAGGAAATTCCATTCGTTCGGCTTAGCTATAAGCCACATTAGAACACACAACGACCTCGCGTGCTTGGCTAAAACCACACTAAATATTACCAAGATATAAACTTTTAATGTGAGTAAAATGTTTTCCCTGCAAGGTAGCTACGAATGTATGTATGTATGTGCATATGTATGTATGTAGTTATGTGCCAGCACGCAGACAATCGCATACAAATGACTGCATTTAATCTTATCGCACGTCTTTACGCTTTTGTAAATCGCTTTACACTCTTATCATCAACTCTTCTGCTTCTATCACTTCTGCTGCTCCTTTATCCTCAATGTTTCACAGCATGCCGCTTGAAATTTTGTTTTTCACCAGCCGGTTTTTTTTTTTGTATCTACACGTGGGTATGTTTGTATTGTGCGGCTATGCGTGCACGCAGTTTATCATTCGTTTTTGTTGACAAATGTGTACACATGTTTCGTAGTGTATGGGGTGTAGGTAGGCGTGCGCTTGTGTTACAAAAAAAAAATGTGTCTTTGTATGTCCTACAGGATGTGGTTGTGATATGCAAAGCACTCAACGACAACTGAAATGCTTTCGTTGCTTACTTCATTTCAGCCAATCTATCCTTGCTCTCCGTTTTTCCAGTATTTTCAGTAGACAGTTATTAAGCCGTACTATGTATGCATGTATTACAACAGGACTCAGCACACATTTGTACTTATATACTTATACATTTACTTAAAAAGTATACTGCAACAGCAACTTCTTATAGGCTTTTTAAAGCGTAACCAAAAATCATCTTTGCCATTCAATCGGCAACTGGTAGGGGACTTGATATGCTTATTTAACTTTGCTTTACATTAAATTTTTTATATTTCATTTTTTTTTGTTATGTGCAACCCCATTGAAGAGGACGTAAAGTGTAATTGATATGATTGAGTGATTTCGACGGCGAAAATGACAATGACAAAGGCAGATATGCGGTTGGCAGACGAGTAAATAAACTTGCTGATATTGCACACTAACGCATATATATAAATATATGTGTGTTAATGCATGCTCAATGAACTGTGTACATTTAGATGTCGCACACTGGGGCCAAGCGTGCAAAAAATTCAATCTTTAAGAAATGTTTTTTTTTGGAAAAGTAAAAATGCAGGTTTATTCCCAATTAATTCTAAATTTGGAGGTAAGTTTTCAGCTTTCTATCGTTTTTCGGCTGGGAGATATGCGAGTCCCAACTTGCGAAAATTTGAAATTTTTTTTTTTTTTTTTTTAAACTGAGAAATTCAAATGTGCAATTCAAATTGTTACTGTAAGAAAGCGGTATTATTTACTTGTTTTTTTTTTCCATTACTCAAGATGAAGTTTATTTATTTATTTGGAGAGAGTAGAGTAAAAATTTTGTGAAGTGGGCCACCATTTTTTCGAAGGTCGAGCTTTTTTGTGCAATTACACAAGTTTTCACAATTACAAGTTTCACAATTTTTCGAAATTCGAATTATTTTTGAAGTCATAGCTATTAAAATTTTTCGGAATTTTTTAGATTTTAATTGTTTTCTCGCGATTGGTAATACCGATGCTGCCAATAATGGTGTTTTCTTCCCATTTTTACTTTTTATTTCGCCACAATTTTTTTTCAATAATAGTTGTTAAATTTTTTTTAATAACGCCCAATGTATTTTGTATAGAAAATAAAAATTGTGAAACTTGTGTTTTTCTTTTATCGTTGTGAAGCATAAACAGATAACAAACAGACCCTCGAAAAAATGGTGGCTCACTTCACAAATCCTTACTCAGTAGCGGCACATATGTATTGTCATAAATATTAAAGCCCTTTATTATGAGAAGGAAAAGTATAACTTTGTCTTCAAATTTAGATACAAAAATAAAAACTTACCTCCGCCAAAAATGTTACGTAAGTGGTCGCATGGGGTCAGGACTTAAGGGAGTAGCGACACATGTGTACACGCCGATGTTCTGTCCGTGACTAATTTACATACCGCGCGGGGAGTTAAGAAGCTAGAAAAACACGAGCGTGCTTCAAGCAATTCCAGTAATTTTTTTTTGCAACTTGAAATGGCTTTGACCCCATGCGCCTAATTTAGGGTTAAGTTGCTCAGAGGTCCCGTTGATTTTTAACTATTTTTTTTTCTGGAAGTGTGTTCCATATAAAAGTAAATTTTCGAACACACTTTGTATCGAAAAAATGTTAAACACCTTCAACCAAAGAAATGCATGATGCAATTCATCAAACTCACAAACCTACATATAATATCATTAAAAAAATTTACATATGCTAATAAGTGAAATAAAAATTACTTTTTTAAACCTTGTTGTGGTCGCTGATTAAGAATCTCGTATCGGATTTTAAAAAGTCAAAATGACTGATCCAAGATTTTTTTTAACCAACATTTTCGCTTAAAACTTGATACTCTGGTGTCAGATTTTAAAAATTCTAAATAGCGGATCCCGATTGAATCTACCTTTATAACGGAAAAGTCAAAACAAAGCGGACGCACATGGCGTATGAGTAACATTCTCTTCTCATACATATGTGCAAGAAAACAACGATAACGTGGATTTACTTTTTTCCTCTTTAAATATTATTTCTTTTAAAGGCACAAAAGCAACGGATTTTAGACTGCCTAACATCTTGGCAGCATCGTGTCACATAGAAAAATATACCCTTGAGAACTATTAAAAATTGCGCTAGTTGTAACAAATGAAAGGAAAACAGTTTTAGATGGCATACCACCTCCAGAACTACACCTAATGCTTGGTGTAGTCAATATCAGGCACGGATGATATGCATTTAACAGTTATATATGCTAGATATTGTTGCAAAATATCGACTTTCTGCGTAAAATCTCTAACAGAAGTTTTCTAGGACTTCAAAACAGTTGCGCACACTTGTTTCGGAATTATCATTCGAAAATATTTTAAAACCTGCATAGAAGCACTCAAAAACAGTTATGCGGCCTTACGTCTAAGTGTCTAACCTAACGTGCATAAAATCTTTTTCAAATTGAGGTGTTTGGTAGTAAGACCGGCATTGTGGGTTATTTTCGGAGAACTAGCCATAGAGTCAGTACACTACGACTTCGAAGAAATTTAGCACAAAAATAAAGTTCCTTAAAATCACCCGGACTAACCAACTAAGCTCTTACATAGCTTTTATAAAATATGTATTTATACCGTTCTAAGGGCCATTAGACGGTCACTATGGTGTACTGGTTAGCGGTGCGCGCTACCATTCCGCAGGGCCTGGGTCTGAGCTCACTCTACTACCAAATTCAGAAAATAATAAATAAACAAGTTGTTTCTAATAGCGTTTGCCCCTCGAACGCCGCAAAGCTCGGCCAAATAGTCACATATTCTGTAAGCGCCAATCTAGTTTTATTAAAGGCCATTTCATCAAGTAGATTGTAAAAGTTATATACCTTTTAAACATAAATTTTTTCTGAAAAAAAATGCTTGAAAGGCAGATACATTTTAAAAGCTACTCGAGAAAACGGCACTATGTGTGCCAAATAAAGAAGATTGTGATTGCATTTTTAATTATCACTTTATAATTTTTTTTTAAAGCTCTTTGCAAAAGTATTTTAAGTTGAATTTCTCGAAAAGATATACGCGTAGGATTAGGAGCGCGGTGGACTTTTATGCAGGAAATTAAAAAAACTTACTGAACTAACAATTTTTCCTCGTCTTGTGACTGCTTTTTATTACCTTCTTACCTTCCTTTTATTAGCTCGGAATGTAACTATGTAATATTGATGCGCCTAAAAGATGCAGCGATTTCTATTCTCAAGTTACATACATACCTGATGACAGTACGAATGGCAAATATAATAGGGTGGTTTTAGTTTTTTTAAACTATAATTTTATTACACTCAAAACGTCAAAAACCTAACATAGTACTCCTAACCAAATGCAATTTGTTTTATTATATCTTACAGATTTACCAAAATTCGGCGAGCCATTACAAAATGTCACGATACCGGTGGGACGAGAGGCGATACTGCAATGTGTTGTGGATAATCTACAAACATATAAGGTACGTACGTAAGCACAAAGGAACTCACACAGTTATGACTACAGACACAGAAGACACGTATATGTGTGTGTGTGTGTGTGTGTGTGTGTGTGTGTGTGTGTGTGTGTGT